TTCCATCCATGTTGTTGGAAATGACAGGATCTCATTCTTTTTTATGGCTGAATAGTACTCCATCATATATGTACCACATTTTCTTCATTCATCTGTTGACAGATGCTTGACTTGATTTCAAAGCTTGGCTATTGTAAGTAGTGCTGCAATAAACATGGGAGTACAGATATTTCTTCAATATACTGATTTCTCTTTTTTTTTTTTTTTTTGGATATATACCTAGCAGTGGGATTGCTGAGAGAAAACATGGGGGAAACATCCAGATCATTGGTCTAGGCAAAGATTTCTTGAGTAATACCCCAAAAGCGCAGGCAACCAAAGCAATAACATTAAAATGGGATCATACTAAGTTACAAAGCTTCTGCACAGCAAAGGAAACAACAAAGTGAAGTGATAACCCATAGGATAAGTCAAAATATTTGCAAACTACCCATCCGTCAGGGGATTAATAACCAGAATATGTAAGGAGCTCAGACAACTCCATAGGGAAAAATCTGACAATCTGATTTTTAAAATAGGCAAGAGATCTGAATTCTCTAAAGAAGACATAAAAATGGCAAGCAGGTATATGGAAAAGTGTTTAACATCCTTGATCATTGGAAATGCAAATCAAAACCACTTTAAGATATCATCTCATCCTAGTTAAAATGACTTTTATCCAAAAGATAGGCAGTAATGAATGCTGGTGAGCATGTGGAGAAGGGGGAACCCTGATGCACTGTTAGTGGGAGTGTAAATTGGTACAGCCACTGGGAGGTTCCTCAAAAGACTGAAAGTAGGACTACTGCCCCACCTTTTATACATGACTTAATGCTGGCAGAATATTAAATTCATTGTGAGTGGATGAAGAGCAGAGGTGGGTATGGAAAGTTCTCTTTCTTTTCCATTTCCAGTCTTCATTCTCTGGACAGAAAAGGAGAATTAAATAAGGAAGAAGCTGCTGGGGTTCTAGAACAGGTTGTTTTCAGCTTCAGGATGTCCAGAAGAAACAACAAAAATAAACACTAATGGTAAGCAGACCCACTTTTATTGAATGCACCCACTCTGCTGAGTACTGCGCATACCTATCAGGGAGCTGAGTTTTCTCAGCAGATAAGTATTACTCCCACCTGCAGGTGAGCAAAGCCGATGTCAATGAGGTGGGGTGCCTGCTGGCCGGTGATGACATGCCCGTATCCAGAGCAACTCTCGGGTGAGAGGTGGAAGCGATTGGAGGGAGGCCAAAGCACGGGCAGGAAGACGGTTAGGCAACTAGTAATGGGTGATGTTATACAGCATGAGCTATGGAAGTGCTAGTAGAGAGAAAAGGAGACTGAAAAGCTGTCACTTGAGGACTGGTCAGTGTGGGCGCTCAGGGAGAGAGCAGGGTCCCATGTCCCAGTGCAGGGAGCGAACAGATGCCCATGTGGTAATCAGGCCTGGGTGGAAATTCGCTTTGAACGTATGCTGACTCCAGCCAGAGCTGCTCAGCCGGCAGGTTAGCACAGTGGCTGGAACATGATGGAGTACAGTATATCTGAATCCACAAAAGCTATTTGCTTTAGTGATTGACAATTTTTAAAGATCAATATCTCATTCTTTTTAGTAAGGCTTTTATTGTTCTGATAAAGTAATATTTAAAGGAGAAAAATGTTACGTTAAGACAGGTAAAGAGTAGTGTAACATCTTTTTTTTCTGAATACAAATATGTAAACACTAAATAGGAGTTACAGGTGAGCTTGTACTTTTGTAATTTTCAGGGGTGGGCTGAGCATATAGTTTCCTTTAGTTAATGAATTGCCCATTACTGGGATTTAGAGTGTGATTAAAGTAGTGTTTTATGAAGCATAGTCTCTGAAATTGGTTTTGTTTGTTTTGTAACCCTGGACAAGCTTCCTTATCCTCTCGATGCCTCAGTTGCCTTATTTGTAGAATTGTAACTACCTCCTACAAATGATGCAAAGTTTAAATGGGATAGTCTGTGTTAAGTGCTAAGAACAATGCCTGCATGTTCAAGGCAGGCATGTTCAATGCATGCTCAAGTTATTTTCCTCTTTGACACAGTGAGGTTCACATGAGGTCTCCCAGAGAAGCATAGGTACAGAGAATAAAAGGAAAGTAGCACTTCATTATTATCTGTGCAGAATGCTGGTGAGGTAAGCCGAATCTCATAGAAAGCTCCTTTACCTAAGCTAAATTTAAGCACTAAAAATCGTAGCACCTAAAACGTATCCTTTGTGTATTTTCTCCACATCCAAAATGAGTCTCAGAACTCAGCTTGTGATGTGAGGTAAGGGACAGAGGACAAGAATGAGAATATGAGGGCTTTTGCCCTGGGGCATGCAATGGTCTGGGTGAGGCCTTAGGTCAGAATGCCACCTCCTTTTAGATAGAGCATGGGGAGTGGAAGAAAGATGATGGCCCTTCTTTCTGGGCCCTTGTCCAACCACACTCACTCACCACGTTCCTGGGAGGACAAGAGTCCAAAGGACATGGGGAGACCTGGCCAGGGCTCTCCCACATCGGGATCAACACCTTCCACTTCTGTTTAGAATGTGACCAGTTCAAACCCCACTCCTCCTTCCTTATTTCCCTCCCAAGAGTGTGAAGATCCGTGGAGACCCCTAAACTCCTTTTCATGACCAGCACCCACCTCTTCTATCTAGTCCTTGTTAGAAACTTGCATTTTACACTAGATTTTTCTAATCACATTAGCCATCTACAATGACTGGGGGATGTGGAGGGTTGCAGTGTTCCTGCAGGTACTGCTGATCCCCCAGAAGAAGCTCTGTCAAGACTGGGATTTTTGATGCTTTTCTTCATTGTTGTATCTTGGATGACTACAAGGGTGCCAGGCAGACATAATTAGGTGGTCAGTTAATATTTGCTGAATGAATCGTATTGAATGGTCTAGTTCAGCTACCTAACTTTATAATGAGGAGGTTATAGTTAAAAAGATTGGGAATTCTAAAACATTCTGCTAAGAGCTACAAGTCCTTAAAAACAAAAACAAAAACTTGCATTATTCTTGCAGCACTGCCCAGAGGTATGTGCTGTCAACTTTATAAAACCAACTCTTTCCAAAAGTCAAGACTGGCACCTCTCCTCATTTCTCTTTCAAGAAAGGTACACAGTGTTCGATGGAAAGAACGTATGCTTTGGAATTATGTAAACTGCTGGCCTTGATAGCTTTGGGCACTTTAATTTCTTAACCATCTGTTTTCTCCTATGTACAAAGAAGGCGATAAGACATTCTCCACGGGGTATGAGAAAACAAGAGAACCCATAAGTGATGTGGCATGCTATTATTTCAAAGTTAGTTCCCCTTTCTTCCTCTTCTCTAGCGACTCAAAGGAGCAAAACCACTTGACTTATAAAAAGCCCTTCCCTGCATTAAAACAAGCCTCAGATTTACTTTTCATCTTCCCAAACTGAAATGTTTTATTTGAATCAATATGGGAAACTCGAGACCAACAAATCGAGTGGTTTGTGTCAATGTTCCCTTGACTGCATCCCTGATCTCATCGACATCCTCTTGCCGCGTCTGTGGGAGAGGACAGAGTCTGACTTTTTAAATCAATCTCCCAAACTCTGCCTTGTTCCCACATCAGCCCATGTGCATGTGCCCGTGTTCCTAGAAATACCCAAAGAATAGGTAAGTTCCTACTAAGGCTGTAATCAGGTGATCTACCTTGAAAATTAACTAGATCCTAATTTACATTACATGGTAGTTCTAATGTGAAGTTATAGGTGTAGAAATGAGATTAAAAACACACGGTCAGCTCATGCGCTGCTGTTTTCACTGTGAGGGGTGGATGTTCTTTGGCTAGCCTAGGCTCTTGGTGGGTGTCATTGTTCTCGGTAATTCTATCTGTGGGAAAGACGCTGTGATTTCCTTAGTGCAGGCGTCCCCAAACTACGGCCTGCGGGCCGCATGCGGCCCCCTGAGGCCATTTATCCGGCCCCCTGCCACACTTCAGGAAGGGGCACCTCTTTCACTGGTGGTCAGTGAGAGGAGCACAGTATGTGGCAGCCCTCCAACGGTTTGAGGGACAGTGAACTGGTCTCCTGTGTAAAAAGTTTGGGGACGCCTGGCTTAGTGCATCTGACACAGTGGGCTCTTGGGTTCATCTTTGGCTTCTCACCTGGGCTTCAGCACCAGCTCCCCCAGTGGGTCATCTGTGTATGTGTAAAGTTCTTAGAGTAGCATACTAATATTCCAAGCAGTGTGACATGCTGCATTCCTTTAAATCACATGATGTCACTTACTAGTATTCTCATTTTAAGAGACAATAAAAATATTGAACAAGCTTTAATGATGGTTCTCCCCACCCACATGTCTTTGTACCATAGAGACACTTAGAGTTGATGTACATCACCCACTCCAACTCTCTGATCTTATAGAAAAGGAGTACTCAGCCTGGTGTCTGGTACCGATCTACCTCATTAGTGCTTGGTGACTTATGTATAAGTAATTGAAATATGCCCAAATCTTGATATTTTCTTTCTTTTTTTTTTTTTTTAAACGGAGTCTTGTTCTGTTGCCCAGGCTGGAGTGCAATGGCATGATTTTGGCTCACTGGAACTTTCACCTCCCAGGTTCAAGCGATTCTTCTGTGTCAGCCTCCTAAGTAGCTGAGATTACAGGTGCATGCCACCATGCCTGGCTAGTGTGTGTGTGTGTGTGTGTGTGTGTGTGTGTGTGTGTGTATTTTTAGTAGAGAAGGGGTTTCACCATGTTGGTCAGGCTGGTCTCAAACTCCTGACCTTGTGATCCATCTGCCTCAGCCTCCCAAAGTGCTAGGATTACAGGCATGAGTCACCGCACCCAGCCCAAATCTTGATATGTTCTAATGAATTTCACGTGTAATGAATTCCAGATATAGGAAAATTGGATTGTTTGCTCAGAACATATTTTTATTTAATTATACTTATTGAATTCATTTAAATATTGTCGTGTGTTTTGAGGTACTGAATGATGACTTGCATAGTACTTACAATGTTTTGTCTTTAATTTTCAGAAACAAATAGAAAAACAGAGGATCCAGAACAAAAAGCAAAAGGTGAGATCGTCAGACAGCCTTTAAAATATACATGGGGAAAGTCAACATACCATCCAAGAATAACATGATCTTATTTTATGTCACTAATTGAAAGAATTTGCTCCTGGTTTGTTATTTCAATGACTTTATCAACAAACACTTATTAATATTCTATGTAAACATTAAGAGCCAAAGCGCAGAAAGAGATTGCCGGGCTTCTCATTCTAGTTTTGATGTTTGTGCTCATGTGTCCTTGGGAAAATTACTTAACTTTTGTGGCTCAGTTTTCTCTTCTGTAACATAGGAATACTAAGAGTATCAACTTCTGAAGGGTCTGTTTCCATGATAGTAATTAAATGAAAATATATGTAAAGTGCTTAAAACAATGGCTAACAGGGAAAGCACTTAGGAAATATTAAAAATTATTTATTGTTGATATGTCAACAACTGTACTAGGTATAGGAATCCAAAGATTCCTAGAACATCATATCGTTTTCAAGGAACTCTGAATTGTTAGAAAGACATGCAAACAAAGTTACAGCTATGTAGAAAGAATTATCTCTCCCTTCAAAAGTTTATTACAAAGGTAGTCTCATAAATTTAATAACCTATAGTATTGTAGTTTAACTTTCACAGGGGTTCTTAAACTTACTCAGAGTGAAGAACTATTTTTAATGTTAAAAAATTATATGGATGATCATAGAATAGTGGCTATTTTTAGTTATTAGTTGACTGATACTATCTTTAATGATTGAATATTATTACAATTTCAAGAATGCTTTTAATTTAATTTGTAGTGATGAAAGCAGTATGTACATATATATCTTGTACATATGATGCATAATACCTTACTTCATGTGCAAATGATACCTGGTGAGCATGTGGAGTTGCTGGCCCCTGGCTGTAATTTCACAGCCCAGAAGTTAAGAAGTAGGCATCTAGTTCATGAAAACTTTTTTTTAACTAGTTGTTTCTAATTTTCGCCAAAGTAGTACAAGGACATAGTTTAAAAAGTGGAGGCTCATAATGAATAGCAGCAGCAGTCTTCTTCCCTACTACTTCCATCCCCTAGCCCCACTCTTTCTTTTTCTTTTTTTTTTTTTTTTTTGAGACCGCATCTCACTCTGTCATCCAGGCTGTAGTGCAGTGGAGTCAGCTCAGCCACTGCAACCTCCGCCTCCATGGTTCAAGTGATTCTTCTACCTCAGCCTCCCAAGTAGCTGGGATTACAGGTGCACACCACCACACCCGACTAATATTTGATTTGTATTTTTTAGTAGAGACAGGTTTTGCCATGTTGGCCAGGCTGCTCAATCTCCTGACCTCATGATCTGCCCATCTCAGCCTCCCAAAGTTCTGGGATTACAGGCATGAGCCACCATGCCCAGCCTTAGCTGTTTCTGTCTAGCATTTCTTTCTATGCATTTCTAAATAACTTGTATAATTCTGCAGTTTTCTCCTCAATATCAGAAACTGTTGGCTGACGGTGTTTTAAAGATCACTGACATCAGCTCAATCATCATGCTCTCACAAGCTCTCCACTGCCTTACCTCCTGAATCTTCCAATATATTTAGGACATAACTCTGATAGATAGTGATACACGCTAATGAGAAAACACAAGGCAACAAGGGGCAAATCAGCTTTGATAGAGTTGATCACTTCCTCTCCTTCAAACACTCCCTTCACGTGACTTGCTGGATAACTTTCTCTTGGTGTTTCTCCTGCTTTCTACTGTTTGCTTTTCTCAGATTCTTTGGAGATGTTTCTCATCTCTTTGACCATTAACCACTGGAGTGCCCCAGACTTGGTCTTCCAAGTATTTCCTCATCTACACATACTCCCTTGATGATCTCATCTAATCTCATGGCTTTAAATGTCTTTGTATGCCAAAGATTAACAAATTTACCTACAGCCTGAGTCTTTTTCCTGTATTCCGGACTGGTGTGTCCAGCTCTCTACATGGTGTCTGCCTGATAACTTCAGTGTTACATGTGTTCAACGTGTAATAATCACTTCAAACTTAAAAAATCTGACTCCTGATCTTCCCCACTCAAAACACACTCCTCCTGCAAACCTCTTTCACATCTCACTGTCAGTCCTTCAGCAAATCCCACCAGCCCTCTTCAGAATGCATTGAGAATCCAGCTACTTCTGCCACCTGTACCCACTACCACCAGGACCAAGTCACCACCATCCCTTGCCTATGTTATTCCAGTAGCCTCCTAACTGGTTTTCCTGCTTCCACCATTGTGTCTCTATAATCTTTCTCAGACAGTAGCCACAGCCTTTTAAACTTAAGTCATTTCATGTTGCTCAGATCCCTCCAACATCTTATCTTCCTCAGAGTAAACACAAAATCTTTGCACCGGTTTATAAGATCTCGCACAGTCTGTTTTCCTTTCCTCCTCTTTGACTGGTTTCCTCCCCAACCTCATGTCCTGTGACTGTCTCTTCCTTTGCTCCCTCTCTTCCAGCTCCACCAGCTCCCATGCCAAGAACACTCAAGGACTCAGGGCTTTTGCACTGAGCATTCCCTTCCAGGCTAAATGCTCTTTTTTCAGAGAGACACATGGGTTGCCCCTTCTGCTCAACTGTTGCATTCTCAGTGAGACTCCCCTCACCCTGATTTTATTTAAGATTGTAACTCCTTCCATTCAATATTCTGTTTCTTTATTTTCTCCATTGCACTATCGCCATGTGAAATATTGGGCAGTTTAACTCTTTAGTGTTTATTGTCTGAACCTTCCACTGGAATGAAGGTTCCGTGAAGACACATTTTTTTCCCCTCACAGTTGCATATCCTGTGTTTAGAACCATGCACAGTACTCAGTAGGCACTTGATAAATATTTATTGCATGGGTTTCTGTTATTTCTTAATAAGGATTAATATTAAAAGCCCTATAAAACCCTAACTATACGAGTAAGAACTAGAACCCAGATGGGACTTCTAGGTTGGAAATTCATGGAAAACCCAAAACTCAAGTGGCTGATTCTGGGTTAAGGAAACTGCTATTATCATCCCTAAAGAAACCAGAGGTGGTTCCTGTGACTCAGTATGTTTAAGCTCATGGTTCATGGAATCACGGAATCATTGAATCCATACTGCCTTGAGCATAGAATTAACAAGGAAAATAAAATACTTATACCTCACAGAGTAAACATCCTAGCAGAAGGATAAAATGAAAATAATACCTGTAAATAATAAATGCAACCTTCTACTGTTATTATTCCCCAGATCTGAGTATACTATTATTATCATCCAGATATCTGGACTTAGGGCTGCTTTGACTAACAATCAAATTAGTTAATTTGGGGGCCTAACATAGGTCTACTAATCTTTATATTGTTTTAAAACATGACTTTAAAAAAATCTATATCTACTATTATGATCAATTGTACAAACAACTATATTTTCAGCTCCAAAAGTAAGGCAAACATTTAGGAATAAAGAACAGTTTTTAAAAATTGAATAAATTTAGCTTTATGAAAAACTCATGAATATGATCCATACCACTTTGTTTGTCTTGGACCAGTGAACATTTCATCACGTGGCTTCAAGACAGAGATTCTGCTGCTGTAGTACATGGAGGCCACACCCCAGCACCACAGTCACTCAGGTCTCACTTTTCAGGATCCTGGATTCCAGAGGGTAACAGAGGAGGGAGAGGAAAACAACCTCTCTCTGGCCTTTATTCGTGTGTTCTTGTCCTGCATTGGTTGGGGAAATGAACACATTTGTGGAAAAGCCGGGTTTTCTAGCAGGACTCCCCATCTTTATCCTTCTCCCTCCATGTCTTCAAGAGGTGAGTTATAGATCAGATTCAGACCAACCCTACCAATCACCACATTCCCATTCCCATTAAAAACAGGTACATTTCATTTTAAAAAGTCAAATTTTAGCCCTTAATATGAGCACTTTAAGGAGGCCAAGGCAGGAAGATTGCTTGAGGCCGAGACTTCAAGACCAGCCTGGGCAACATAGACTCCATTCCTATAAAACATTTAAAACTAAAAAATAAATTTGAAAAGTCAAATTTTAGTGTCTTAAAAACACAGGATCTTATTTCTTACCCACCTAAATAACCTAGGGCCAGTTTAGTGGCTCATGGGGGACCCCACTCCTTTCTCACCATTTCTGCCATTCTTAGTCCATAACCCGATGTTCCAAAAGTGTTGTTCATGCACCAGCCATTATAGCCACATCCAGATTAGAGGATTGAGGATTGGAGAAGTAGTAGGCTTCTTAGGAAAACGACATTTAACTGACAGAATTTTGTTAAAGCTAAAACTTAGGGTTCTAGTTCTAAGGAAAAAGGAAATATGCAATATTGAGAAGTAGCAACAATTACCAGTCTTGGGCATACAGTATTTTATTCCTTTTGTTGTTAAAATATATTTGACCATCATATTTTAGGAACGTGGCTACTGTTCAGCACCAAAAAGCTCTATAGGTCATAAGAATATATATTTTTACAAGTGATCAACTTTCCATTATTCACACAGACAAAAATTGATTTCTTCATCCCCTTAAATATTTGTGTGCCAACTATGTGCCAGGGATTGTTCTAGACAGGTGGTTGCAGGTGAGAGCAAGAGAGATGAGGTTCCTGTTTCAGGGAGCTCACATCCCAGCAGTACACACACAGACTACACACACAGACTGAAATTTTGGTAAGACTTCTGAAGAAACAAAGCAGAAGAGCATGCTGCAGAGAGAACAGGTAGTAAATTAGGGAAGAAGGCATCCCAAAAGATTAGTGAAACCTAAGCACTCTGAGCAGAGGAGCACTTTGTGCAAAAGTCCTGAGACAGGAGAGAAGGGCCAAGAAGCTGGAGCACCCTGAACGAACCTAGAGTGCGTAAGAAACAGAGAAAGTCAGGGACTAGACCATGGTAGGAGTCTGGACATTTTCTTCATGCTGTGGACACCATACCCAGCCCATAGACATCTCTGTACCAAAATAGAGTCCTTTCTCATTTACGCATTGACTGGTTTGCTTCTGGGAGGTCCACTTCAGTG